ATGACTATTTCTATTTTACATTAAGACTAACTAGAAGATGAAGACTTGAACTTCAGAAAATCAGAGTCCACTATAGGAATAGTGGACTATTAGTGAAAGAAAAGAACTGGTAAAGGAAGGGAAATAGGGGACAGGGAGAGAATATGATTGTGCCTAAACCAAAAGGAGAGAAAGATCTTAAATTTCTGAATGGCCCACAATGGGAATTGAGTGAGTTCCTGTCTTAGCTTCTGAAGGGAAGATCTCTAACCGCTCACTAGAGGAACACTACATGGAATCAGTCCTGTGGCTCAAAATAAACTAAAACACACCTTTGATATTAGAGACCAACACAGACTGCACAGAAAAGAGTCTCACACTTCACTGAATAGGAGTTGGGTGGTCAGAAATGTCGTGAGGTCACAGTCCCAGGCATGATCCACACTCAGGCCAGGGGTGTGGTGCAGCTAAAGGCCCTAGAATAGGGAGAGCAGAAATTGCTGTAGAGGCACAAAACCTTGAACAGGGGTAAACACTGTCATACAGTGGTAGGGTTGCCAGAAAGAACAAAGAAGGTAAAACATACACTATAATCCCCTCCTCTAACTTCCCTTGGAAATGGTAATGTCAATAATGAGCATCAACATCTAACAGACTCCAGAATCTCAGCTCTGGAATTCCACAAAGGACAGTTAATCAGACCTGCTATAAACACATGCCACCTGTTCCCCACCTCCCATCCCAGCACTTTTCAATCAAAAGCTGGACTTCTCCAGGACCCATACCCTCCAGGTGTCACCTCAAACAACAACTGGAAAAAATAGGACTCAGTAGTTAAGGAAACCAACAAAAGTCAAAGAAATCAAATCAAACCAAACCAAACCATCAGCAGCAGGATTAGTAATTCAACTCTCAAGTTACCATGACGGGTATCTTTAAGAAGAGAAATTTACAGCAGCAAAATGGGCAGAGAATAAAACACATGGCACAATAAGCCCTCAAGGGACTATGACACCAAAAGAAGAGACTAACTCTACAGAATACAACAATAAAAACATGGAAGAGTATCTCTCTCAATCAGATACTTAAAAATTGCTAATTTAAAAAAAAAAACAAACCTGATAGAGTGCCCCTCTGGAGGCCTAGAGGTTAATTCTCAGCGCTATCACCACAGCTCCCTGAGTTCGATGCCCCGCCTGGTAGCTAACTCACATATGGTGTAGCAGACCTCTCCTGTCACGCCTACTGCTCCCCTCAGCAGTGTATTTCAGTGAATCCACCTGTTCTACTCCCCACTCTGTCTCTGGTGAATTCTGTTACTCCCCTGCGCCGCTGGCCTACACACCAGTTCTTCCACGCAAAAAACAACAGCAACCACAAAAAAACCCCACAAAACTGATAGAAAAAAATATAAAAAAAAGGCAAGGCAAAGTGATACAAGCAAACTCAGAAAATCTAATGAAAGAGCTACAACAAAATTCAGAAAATTGAATGAGCACAGGAATAAAACTATTGAAAGTAGAAACTGAAGCTTTAAAAAAGAAAGTTAAAATAACAGATTAATGATACAGAGATCAAAGGTTCTAAAGAGGGCCTCCACTGTGGTGCAAGGAGTTAAGTCACAGTACTATGAAGCTATCCGCATCCACTACAGCACTGCAAGAGTTCCCACATGGCACAGCAGACCTCTCCTGACTTGGCCAACACTCCCCTCAGCAGTGTATTTCAGTCAATCTGCCTGTTCTGTTCCCCACTCTGTCTCTGGTGAATCCTCTCACCCCTGTACCTCCGACCCTCACCCCAGTTCTTGGATGTATAAATAAAATATTAAAAAGAAAAATTCCAAAGAAAACTATGAAAGCAAATTAGACCAAATTGAGGATAGAATCAGCAACTTCAAATGGCATCATATAAAAAGGGCCCTGGTAGAATAAGAGCAAGATATAAAATGTTAAAAAACAAAACAAAAAACAAAAACTTCCAAACTACCTTAACTCCACTAGGAAGGCAACAAAAGTATAAACAGAAGAGGAAGAAGACACAGTGGAACAGAGAGCTTATACAAAGAAACAATACAGGAAAAATCCCTAAATCCAAGTTAAAAAAAAAAAAACATATTCAAGTCCAAGAAGCTAAAAGAACACCTGTTTATGCAAATACAATAAACTGTCAAGAAGTAACTTTGAAGAGTTCCAAGAATATGGAAAGTAGCTGGGGGGGGGGTGGGGAGGAGAGGCAGGTAAAAGGGGAAGCCAGAGGGAGAAAAAAACTTAACAATGGAACTTCTGTCAGGCTTTCATCAAAATTTTCAGGAGAAACCAAAGGCAAGGAGAATGACCAGCTTAAAAAAAGTCAAGAGATAGCGCCTCCCCGGTGGTGCAGCAGTTGAGCACTGAGTTGTGAAGCTGCCCACAGCCTCTGCAGCTCCGGTTTGATCCCACTGGGCGAGGGTCCCACATGGAGCGCATGCTCCCCTCAGCAGTGTACTTCGTCAGTCTGCCTGTTCTGCTCTCCGTTCTGGCTCTGGTGGATTCTCTCACCCTCCCACGCTTCTGACTGTACCCAGTGCTTGTATAAATAAATAAATAAATCTTTAAAAAAAACCAAAACCAAGACAAAACAAAACAAAAAAAGTCAAGAGATAAAATCGCCAGTCAAAAATGTTACATCTTGTAAGACTCTGATAAAGTCCTTCCCGAACTGAAGATGGAGTTCAATACTAGACTTCCCTATAAGAAATATTGGAAGGGACGCTCTTATCTAAATCAGAAAACAAAGTCCCCAAAAAACTGAAGAAGGAAATAAGTAAAAGGAAAAAAGATCAAGATAAAATAACAGCAGCAAGCCCTCATACATCAATAATGACCCTTATAGCAAATAATTAAACTTACCAATAAAGGCACAGTGACTGGCTGGATGAGAAAGCAAAACCCAATTTTCTGCTGCAGTATCCAAGAGATTCACCTGAGCTTTAAAGATAAAAACTTGAAGAGGCTGGAAACCAATGGTACAAGCAAATGGTGCCCTAAAAAGGGCAGGTATTTTAACACAGATTTCCAATTATCAGTGGTAACAGGAGACAGAGATGGATATTGTAATAAATATTGACGAAGAAATCAATACATGAAGAGTACTAATCAATATATTAAATATATATATATAAAGAGAATCAAAATATGTAAGGTAACAATTACAAACCCCAAAATAGACAGTGACAGCAACATAAAATGATAGGCCTCATGCTGAGTCGCAAATGTCAATAAACTCATAAAAACTAAAATCATACCAAGTATTTATCTTCTCTGATCACAATGGTATGAAACTAGATATCAACCACAAAAAGAAAGTGGAGAAAACCTCAAATATGTGAAGACTAAACAACTTGTTACTGAATGAGGAGTGCATTTACAAATAAAGGAAAAATTTTAAAATATCTGCAGACAAATGAAAATGAAAATAAGAGCTACAAGACCATACGAGACACATCAAAAGCAGTAGTAAGAGAGAAGTATAAAGCAATACAGGCCATATCACGGAACAGGAAACTAAAGGAAATTAAAAAAAAAGAACATACAAAACCAAAAGCTACTTGCAGGGAGGAAATAATAAAAATCAGAGTAGAGAAAAACATAGCAAAAACAAAAAAAAGTACAAAGATAATAAAACCAAGGAAAGGCTCTTTGAAAGATAAACTAAGCAGAAACTTAAAAGCTAACAAAGAGAAAAACAGAGAAAACTCAAAAATAATCAGAAACAAAATGAACATCTCACCAATATGAAACTACTATGAACATCTTTATGTCAATAAATTGTATAACATAGCATAAATGGGCAAATTTTTAGATACATACAACCTTACAAGACTGAATCCGCCAAGAAAACAGAAATCTGAACAGGGCAACTACAAACAAGTAAGCCGAGATTGTGATCAAGTTTCCCAAAAAATGAAAGTCCAAGACCAGTTCAACTACGGAATCTACCAAACCTTCAAAGTCAAAATAGTGCCTATCGTCAAATCCTTTAAAGTTAGAGAAAGAGGGAATACTTACATTTTATGAGGCCAACAATATTGATACCAAAAGCAAACCAATGGCTCATCAAAAACTACAGACCAATCTCTCTAATGAATACAAATACAAAAATACTGAAAAAAATCTTGTAAACCAAATTCAATAGTATTTTAAGAAATCATACATTATGACCAAATGACAAGGATGCAAGGATGGTTCAACACACAAATCAACTATTTCTAACTCACCACAGCAATAAAAGAACATCAAATAATCCTATCAATAAGTAGGGGAGGGGAGCATCTGGCAAAATTCAACATCCATTTGATTTTTAAAAATCTCCCAAAAATGGGGATAGAAAGAACATACCTCAACATAATAAAGCTATGGCAAGTCCACACCTAACATCAAAATCAATGGTGAATCACTGAAAGCTTTTCATCCAAGATAAGGCAGAAGAAAAAGATGTCCATTTTTATTATTATTCAATAGTGTACTGAAAGTTCCAGCAAGAAAGACATAAAAAGAATGCAAATTGGAAGACGTTAAACTATCACTATTGGCAGAACACATAATATACATAGAAAACCCTAACATCGCACTAAAAAATTCTTACCAACAGTAAATCAGTAGAGTGAAGTGACAGGTTACAAAATCAATATACAGGGGCCTCTCTGGTGACGCAAGGGGTTAAGCACCGCATTATGAAGCAATGTGCAGCCTCTGCAGCACGAGTTCGATCCCCAGCTGGCCAGGGAGCAACCCACATGGCGAAGCAGATCTCTCCTGTCTCGCCTGCTGCTCCCCTCAGCGGTGTGTTTCAATCTGACTGTTCTGTTCCCCACTCTGTCTCTGGTGAATCCTCTCACCCTCCCACATCTCTGACCTGTACCCCACCTCTTGTATGCATAAATAAATATTTAAAAAAAATCAATATACAAAAGTTACATTCTCTGTATGGCAAGAAAAAAAAAAAGTAGAAAAAGAAATCATGGAAACAATACAGTTTACAGTCACACTAAAATAAACAGGAATAAACAAAGTAGGTTAAAGAGCTGTACAAATGAAAGGCATTGTTAAATAAAAATACAAATATATGGAAACATATTCCCAATTAAAACTGTTAAAATGGCAATATTGGGCCTCCCCGGTGGCGCAGCAGTTGAGCGCTGGGTTGCGAAGCTGCCTGCAGCCTCCGCAGCGCAGGTTTGATCCCTGGCTGCTCCCCGGCCACCCCACCGGAGGAGGGTCTCACATGGCACGCAGACCTCTCCTGCCGCCCGCTGCTCCCCTCAGCAGTGTACTTCGGTCCTTCTGCCTGCTCTGCTTCCCGCTCTGGCTCTGGTGAATTCTCTCACCCTACCGCACTTCTGACTGTACCCAGTGCATATATAAATAAAACAAACAAATAAATAAAAAAACATGCCTCTATAAAAAAAAAAAAATGGCAATATTGCCCAAAGCAATACACTACACAGATGCAATGTAACCCATATCAAAGTTTCAGTGGCTTTCCTCAAAGAAACAGAGCAAACATATTTATATGGACCACAAATGACCCTTAACAGCCAAGGCACCTGACAAAAATAGCACTTATCTGACTTCAATCTATACTACCGAGATACACAACTCAAACAGTATGCTTTTGATATAAAAACACACAGTTGAATAGTATTCAGAGCCTTAAAAAACTCATATTTTGAAGGACAGTTAATTTATGACAAAAGAGGCACGGATACAATTGACCAAGTTATCTTGAGTGAATGCTGTCCATAAAAACTGGATAACCACATGCATAAGTATTAAAGTAGATCAGAATTCAGCACCAACAAAACACTCCATGAAATTGGCTTCATCTCTCTGGGAACTGTAACTCCAAAGGTAATGGAAACAAAATAAAATAAAATAAAAAAGTGGGATTACATCAAAGTAAAAAGCTTCTGTACACTGAAATCCTATCACTAATTGTATCATTAAAAATAAAGATACCCTGGGCCTCCGTGGCGGCGCAGGCAGCTGAGCACCGCACTGTGAAGCTGTCCACAGCCTCTGCAGCACAGGTTCGCTCCCAGCCAGACAGCGAGAATCCCACATGGCGCGGCAGGCCTCTTTTGCCTCGCCAGCTGCTCCCTCAACAGTGTATTTCGTCAGTCTGCCTGTTCTGTTCCTTGCTCTGTCTCTGGTGAATCCTCACCCTCCGCACATCTGGCCTGTACCCCAGTTCTTGTATAAATAAAATCTTTTAAAAAAAAAAAGATGCCCTGACTAAATAGGAAAAGTATTTGTACATATCATACATGACATACATCAAAGAACTCATTAAGAAAACATATAATCCACCCAAAAAAAATGGGCAGAAAACTAACCAGACACTTGTCTAAAGAAGACATACAGGTGGCCAATAAAGGAAAAATTGCTCATCAGCACTTCTCACGGAAATACAAACTGAAACCACGATGATACAAAACACATGAAATTATCCAATACCATAAAGACTAGAAAAAAGTGGTGGCAAGAATGAAACCGGTACAGCCCCTATAAAAGTATATCTACCATATGATTCAGTGATTCAACTTGTAGGTACCAATTCAAAGGGATATAAGCAGTCCTACGTTCATTACAGCACTATTTAAAACAGCAAAGTTATGGAAACCACCTCTGTGCACAACAGATGAATGCATTAAGAAATGTGGTATATGGCCTCCCTGGTGGCACAAGGGGTTAAGTACAGCACTGTGAAGCTATCCACAGCCTCTGCAGCAGGAGTTCTTTCTCCAGCCAGCCAGGGAGCTATCCACATGGCGCAGCAGGAGACTTCTCCTGTCTCACACGCTGCTCCCCTCAGCAGTTTATTTCAGCCTGCCTGCCTGTTCTGTTCCCAACTCTTGTCTGGTGAATCCTCTCACACACACAAACCCCCACACCTGTACCCCAGATATTGTATGCATAAATAAATAAATCTTTAAAAAAAATGTGGTGTAGTGGACTCCCTGGTGGCACAGTGGTTAAAGTCTCAGCGCTATCAAGCTATCGCCAGGCAGCGACTGCAGCTTGAGTTCAATACCTGGCTGTCACATGGCACAGCAGACCTCCCCTGCTTCACCGGCTGCTCACCTCAGCAGTTTATTTCAGTAGATCCACCTTTTCTGCTCCCCACTCTGTCTCTAATGTATCCTCTCATCTTCCCAAACCTCTGGCCTATACCCCAGTTCTTGTATGCATAATTTTAAAAATGTTTAAAAAAATGTGGTGTATATATATTCAACAGGATACTACTCAAGTATAAAATGAAGATTATTGCCACTTCAAACATGCATGGAATTAGATTACACTAAGCAAAATGTCAAATGAAGACAAATAATGGATCATCTCACTCAAATGCGGAATATAAGTAAAAAAAGAAACAGATGAAGCTAAACCAAAACAAAATCGAGAAATTTGACTGCAAAATTTAGCCAAATTAGAGGACAGCCTTGAGGGTGAGGGAATCCAAAAAAGGACACGGGGGCCTAATAGGCTATGGTAAAGGATTATGGGTGCTTTGGTAATGGGTATACTGTGTGTGAAGTGGTGTGAACCAACACCCCTAAAATCATAAACATTGTTGTAAAAACCAATTACCTCAGTAAAACATAACTAGAAACAAAACCAAATGTATCAAGAAATATATTCACATAAATTTTTTTAAAAAATGAGAAATGAAAATTTTACTTCATTTTATTTTACACTATGCTCCATGAGAACTACTCAGTTGGAAGATAGGTTAATAAGTCATCTTGGGATAGAAGTGAAGTCTCTTTATGTCCCGTGCTTCCAGGAGCAAGGAAAATATGAAAAAGGAAAAAAAGGGCGGGGGAAGAGGTGGGTTGATGCAATGTTAAATAGATAAAATGGTAGGTGAGATAAATTTGTTGATCACAGATGATGTGCCCAACCAGAGACAAATTCATCTCTAGTTTACCAAAACCACAAAATCGTAGTCAGTTGATTTCCTAGGAAAACTGAAAAAATGCTAAACTAGGATACTATAGGGAAAGGACAGAAAGATCCCTATGTGACAACTGAATTGTAACGAAATAGATTTGTTTACTAGACACAGATATTCATAGTAAATACAGACCAAAGTCAATGTCCAAAAAACTACCTTTTAAGACATTTAGAAAGCTGCAAATCTTCAGTTACAATAATGACGATTTTGGAAAAAAACTTGTCACTATAGCATCTATGTGGTTTCATTATAGACCCATTTATCTTAATGCACTGCGGAATTCTGAAACAGAACCATTCATATACAAATACACACATACACACGTTGCATAAATCTTTGTAAAATCTCACAAGGCATGTTATAACTTTTCACCATAAAATTACTTAACCATTCCCATTTATTGAACTTGACAAACGTTACTTCTTAAAGTGACTAACAAAGAATAAAGCTGCAAATTACATTTAATAAATACATTCATGGTCTTGACTATACATTTATCAAACCTTTATCTTCAATGTAAAAAAGCAAAAGATGACCTTGCACAAAAGGTTGGGCAGTTATTTGAATCCATCAAAGTGGCATCATCACATTCATAATTACAAGGATAGCAAAGACCAGGGCAGTTTTTTAAATATATTTACCCTTTCAAGCATAAGTATGTTCAAATATACTAATACAACATCTGATCACGCCACTGTTTCATTTCTCTTACTGGCATAGACAGCTGAGAATTAGTTAAGTGAAAAACTTTCACAAAATACTCAAAATTACATTTCTATTATAGTCCCTCTTCACTTAAATTAAGTAGGCTTGTGAACACAATACAAACCTAATTCAAGAAATTTTATCATAGAGACCTTATATAAAAGCCCACAATAACCATGACATTGTCTAGTCAAAATTATGACTTTCTGCAGCATTTGTAAATTGTCAGTAGCTGTGAAAACTTGGGGTGTTTTGTATTATGTCAATGATTGGGCAAAGATCCTTAAAAAAATTCATATATTAGAGAACACTCATCTATGCCAACCACCACTAAAATTGACCAACCAAAAATGTTATTTTACTTTTCCTGAGCAACATTACAGTACAGAGCTTCTCAAACTGGAATACCCAAACCCAACATGACTATTACCCAAGAATATATTTAAAATAATACTGGTTAGTCAAATCTGAGACCTGCTGAGTCAGAAAGTGGGGTAGGACCCAAGAAATGTTTCAATTAGTTTTTCAGTTGATACTAAATGCACAAAGAATGGTGAGAACCACTGATTTAGAAGAATGTTAACGGTTGCTGACCTTTAATTTACTGCAGGGATTTTGTTTTTCCACTGCTATATCTCCATCCTAAAAAAGGTACAGTACACAGGGCCTCTCAGTACATACTGGCACAAGAGAAAAATTGATAGTGAAATTCTGAATGGTTTGGCTCCTCACAGCATCAATATGACAAAGTATCATTTGGTAGGCAATTACTCCAATTTAGGCTCAGTTTGCTAAACTGTTAAGGCCAAATAATCCTAATGGTTGAAATATTCTTGTCAAATCGACAGTTAAGTAAATATTCTAACCAACTTAAATAATTAATATTACAAAGTAAATAACCATCTGGCAAATAACTGCTCCCTTCAACACTAAAAACATCAGACATTATTAAGACTTTACTTTTTGTAAAATTATGGTTTTACTTTTTCTTGTTACATAAAACACAAAACAACATTTGCAAATCTAAATTTCTCATATTTGATATGGACTGACATTATCCAATAATCTGAAGCGTAAAGAGAAGTTAATCATTGTGGTAAAATGAGCAATAAAATGTTTTCTTTATTTTCACGAGATTCTCATTTGTATTCACAAACTGGCTAACATACTGCATAAAAGAGCCAACTCAGATATAACAATGCATTAATGTAGCTACTCATTAAATTTTTGATACTACCTCATACACATATACGAAACTGTGAAGTTGATTCTGTAATTAACAATTTCAGGACTATAAACATACTTTAGGTAAATATTAATTCCAAAGGCTTCTACACCACCAAAACCTCATTTACATAGAGTAACAGAGTCCACCTACATTACTATCAGTAATTACATTTAGTGGCAATATTTTAAAAAGCAATACACTTCTGCAATATACTTCAAGCTTATTTCTCCCTAATCTTACTAATGCATATCTAAAGTTTCAGACAGAACTTCATACATATTTGGATACTTTAAAAAACAGAACTAAAATTTTATTTACATGTTTAAGTTGAACACATCTGTTTTAAGATTCAGTTCTTTAAAACAAAGAGGGAGTTAGTAATAACCATAATTCAAGTGCTAAAATACAAATAGACTTAAGTTTTTCTGGTTTCTTTTTAATGGCTATGTATAAACTTTGGCTAAATTATGTTTAGAAATATTTTCCTCTATCGGTAAAATATGTTTCATGTCACTGAAAAGGAAAACTTCATGATAATGCAAAGTATATTCTGAAAATTCTTCCATAAAGAAATATAATCAAGGAGTAACTTTTTCAATCAAAAAAGGAACATGGAGAGAATAAACATGGTTTTACATAAAATGACAAAGGGTCGAATAACATTTCCAATAACACAAAGTTCATTGGTAGAGCAGTTAATAATATTTTAATGCATACTCTCAAGACTTTAAAGGTGAGATATTATTTTAAAAATAACAGATGCTATAAAAATAGGGAAATTCTTCATTATTTTCTGAAAGTAAAGTTCTACAAGTATCTGACCACATTCCACTGGCAATCTGTATGCATCCCTCATTTACACTAACTGGGAAAAATAGTTTGTTAAGCGAGCATGCTAAAATTGTTTCCTATTTTTAAAAAATTAGTAATAAAGGGAGTTGAAAAGTAAATAATGTTCTTGAAAAGTATACAATTACTCATTTTTGATCAAGATTTGCTTAAAATGAAGGCCACACTAAAAACTATATAACGAAAAAACTGAATTCCTACTTACTTTGTAGTAGTTTGTCCCTCTCCTGAACCACCACCCCGCTCCCCCAAAATGAGTTCATGTGTAAAAATATCTACGTAACTAGGAAGGAAAACATTCACAACTATTGAATCTTGGAAATACATGACTATATAGTTTTTTGAGTATTATCTTATTCTTGAAAATACTGTTTAGCTTGAGTCATTGCTACCCTTCCAAATTTCAGAAATATATTTTATCATTAACTACTGTAACCTACTCTTATAAAACAAAACATTTAAATACCACAGTACCCTCCAAAAAACCATCTTTTATTGAAAAATAATGTGTCCCTTTCATTTTTCACTAGTCTCATTTGACACAAAGTTTCAATACTTTTAAGTTTAACCATACACTTGATCACTTTTCACAAAACTTACTTCCTTTCAATCGCACATTAATGTTTTTTCTCCTTCAGCATGTAGGTTGTAATTACCAATTTAATCCACTTATAAATTAGTTACTGTTAGTCTTACTGATAATTAGCAACTATTACACATCTTACATGTAAGAATGAAGACAATGAAATATTCAAGTATGTCTCTGAATAAAATACAAAAGCTATTTCAATTAGTATTTGAAAAACAAGATCCAATGTTTCAGTGGTTGTCCTCGAAAATTTTTAATTGAATTTCATGGCAATTCCAAGTAAAACAGGTAGTATTCCACTAACATATTACTGATACTTCACTTTTTCCACTAAATATTCCGCACTGATTTTAAATAGAAAATCAAAAACTGAAAGAGTAATACCCAATACGTAATACCCAATACGCCTTCAAATACTGGGATCTGTCAAGAAAACCAATGCATTTATTTTCAAAATAAACAAAAAATAGGTAAATTCTGACAAAATAAAGCGCTAAAATAAAACTAGGGAAATGGATAGTCCTTTATTTTATGCATATTAATTACAAAAAGCATATGAAATCTAAATCCTACAGCCTTTAAACTCAATGTTTCCAATTATGACACACAAAGAAACAATATTGTTATTATAATCCTACAATTGTTTCATATTACCTTTTTAAGCAAAAAATTACAGTAGCACATGATAAATTCACACTTTTTAGAAGAGCTTTTAGTTTCTAAAATATCTATCACTTTTAACCAAAGGACATTAAAAATCTTTGTTATTCTAATTCACAAGGAAAAAATGACTGAAACAGTCATAAATTTAACTATACAAAACCACTGAAAACTGAATAACTAGGAGTTCACAGATGCTCCATTTGTCACTCAGAAGCTGACTGATTCCCAGGTAAACGTATTAAGAACTGGAACAAGAATTTTCTTGATGCAGGGAAAAAGGTGTGCAGAACTCTATTCTTGGAGCCAGAGTTGAGCCGGACAATAGAATGTTCAGGAAATTAAGACATCTGTATGCATGGGTTTTCAAATGTTCTTGAATCTTAAGGAATTTCCCAGCCTTGGCCAAATAGAGCTTGATATTAACATCAAAAGAGCACATTTCTCCCAATCTTAATTCAGCTTTGAAGCAAAATACAAAGCTAAAAACCACCTAAGGATTATGTGAATAAAATAAAGATGATGGGAAAGGTATATAAGTTCAATCACTTGAAAACTACAGTTCATGTTCAAACTCCCCACACTGCAATGAATGCCACAAACTGAAATAAATTCCATTATCAGTCATACTCATGGAAAGTGATGAAACTATTATTTTACAATCCCCAACTCAAGATTTAAAAAATTTGTAAAAACAAAACTGTAAGAATAGTGCAAATTTTAGAAGATACTTTCACCCATTGTTATTAAAAAGAACATGAAATAGTACATAAGAAAAATTTAATTGATACAAAAGAATGCATCTCAATTGTGCTTTACACCAAGCTGTTTTTATGCAAGATTTGCAAATAACCAGTTATTTCTTTCCAAAGTATACTGTCCAGCAGAAACCATGCAAAGTTAATGGGTAATATTTAAATACTATTTAAAATAGCACAGGAAAATGCTGAAAGCATGATATAGTAAAACACTGAAATGTTACTTATACGAAAAACTATGATCCGTGACTGATAAACTATATTTATGGTTTAAGTTAAATTATATATGGGTAGCTAAAATTTCAAATACAGCGATTACTTTGTTTTTGGAAACAACAACATATATATCATGTCATATATATCATAATGTGACAAAATCAGTTCTTCCTCATAGTGAAAATCAAAATATGTATTTAGGAGTACAGGTATGTAATCTGATTCCAATGATCCTATTTTTGAAAAATCACCGCTTGAATTATATTTCTTAAAAACAAAAACACAAAGCCAATCAAATTTTACTGAAGACATATCTAAACTAGAAAAACACAATTATAATGCTGAAGAGTCAAGTCATCTTTAATACTTCTAGAAATCAACATTCTCAAGAATTGCTTAAATTTTTCTAAATCACAGAGTGGATCCTCACTAAATATCCAATCTAAGAGTATTGTTTGGTATAAAGAATTTTTAAAGGGGAAGATCTAGATATTGGAACCAAATAAATAATGGCAAATAAGATTAAAAAATAGACTTTTTATGAGCAAAAGAGATTTGCCTTCAAACAGTTTGTTTTTTCAAGATTCAAAAGATTTATTTGGAAAAAATCAGAACAGGACAAAGATATCCTTAATATTCCTTCTCAGAATATTCAGAATCTATATGAAGACAACAACTCTGATTTCACAGAACATCGATGGTTTTACAAATGTGAACACCCATAACCCATCCCTCCCCAATGTACTACTCTATCTACCCCTTATTGACATTGCTTTCAGTGAGCTGCTATCTTAAGTGCTACTTGCACAAACTAAAAAGCAGAAAATTTCCTTTTTAAATGGACTGGATCAAAGCAACCAAAGTACTACTGCAACAGCAAAGTTAAGTAAAATTATAGAATACCACTAGTAACATTTTAAAATTATCCAAAATGATTTCTTTATTGAAATTGACTACACAGATTTCACAGTACTATGGCATACTTATATTAAAAGCTAAAGTCACAAACATTTTAACATTCACAATGATGAGCATCATCATTATCATTCTAATCTACAAAGCTTATGAATAAAGAAAAAATACAAAAACCTGAAATTTTACAAAAGAAAAACTTTAAAGTCTACATACATCAACAATAAAACCATTACTTCCAGGTAACAGGTTAAAGTGTAAAGGCATTACCACTGAATTTTTTTCCCCTCTAAATAAGTGAGAAATGAAAGAATGTTTAATATCTACGACGCTTATTAGGGCCTTCAAAGTTGCCCCCTTGGCTTCCTCTACCAAAACCACCAGGACCACCACTAACAGGACCTACACCACTCATTGGTGCTTGAGGGGTTTCAGAACCTGTTCTACTCCCCATAGGTGAGCCCATCTGAGATGGTGGTCCTTGTGGAAATCTATCATTGTGCTAAAATACACATAATATGAAGTCCATTTGGAACACGCCAAATATAAGTGACAAGAAAAATTGGCAAAATCCCAAGTGGTGGTGTCATGAAGTTCAGCAGAAAGTCCAGCAGAATCAGGATCATACATAGAAGGAAGAAAGGAGCAATTTAATTAGTTACTATGTTCAAAAAAAAAAAAAAAAAAAAAAAGCATCTGAAGAACTACATATTTCTAATGCTAAGCCGCAATTTCATGGAAAAAGAACTAATTTTATGAAGTGAAAGCCTTCTTAAACCTAATCAGTATTATGATACTATTCCAATCTTTTTTTGGTTTATACTACATATAACTGCTATGTATAAAAAATGCTTTTTGAAAAAAATCAGATAAAACTGGGGAACAGTATCACATTCACTGTTTTACATTCCTAAATTTCAACAGCAATGCTTTTAACATAGAAAGTACTAGTACACACACAATTATAATTTCAACGTGCAAACTTCGAGGTTTTTATCTGGAGTGACTTATTGGGAAAATAGATTCAGTTTTTAAAAATTGATAACTTACTAACATATACTACTAATAGCACAATTAAACATCTGAAAAATGCATTTGGAAAACATCAAAATAACTATATGCTAATCTTAAAAATTGAATAGAACCACCTAAGTAAATTTTCAGAGCTAAGCAAACGAAAAATAATGTTTAAATAGAGTTTACAATTTCAAAGGAGAAGTAGAAAAAGTCTGTTAATTTTACTGAATTATTTTTCATTATATGCTAAACAAAAACTTACAACAGTGTAAGTTTTTACTAGATTTTAGCCATCTAACTATAAAATAAAGCGTATACTGAATAAAATACTATACTATGCACTACCCAATTACAGTAGCTATTATGACACTGCCTCTTTATCTCACTGTACACATTCATTTAAAAAAATAAACTGCTGGCATATCCAAATTTTCCAAATTCTTAAAATACTGCATTTAAAGTAAATAAATCTTAACATAATAAAGCATTGCATTCATCAAGTCTGAGATGCACATTCACTTTTAACATCTCTGTAATCAGGATTGACTCATAACTGATGATATGTATGAGTTTAATTGGCAGTGCTTTTTCTTTCTTAGCAGCAATGGCACCTTAAGATTTAATGTAGTTGTTTTAAAACTAAACTGCCTTTTCTAAAAATATAATCAATCATCTTTTTCTAAATGTTACCACCTAGAACAACTATTAACAAAAACCAAATAATAAAATGTTCTACCATTTAAATAGTAATAAACTTTAAGGGAAATGATATAGACACCAATCTTGCCACTGATACTCCAATATAAAGAAAATTATAACTTCAACTTTTTATAGTATTTAAACCACACAAAGATATCTTCACACTCTCAAACCAGTAAAATTGCCTACATTAAATTTAGTAACAAATGTAATTAGTAATTAATTCTGTAATATGAATGCAGCAATGTAAGTTTAAAACATTTCATACTTTAAATAATTTTACTATTAAAACAATTCCCTGAAATTAATCATAACTACTCTTTTTATTAAAATGTTTACCAAAAACTCTGCTTTCACACATATGGAAGTTTTATTTCCCACAAAAGATAAGGAGTACGCACAGGGTAAGAACATAATTGTAAAATACTTGACCACTGAAACAGATAAGCACTGAAACATGAAATTAACATATTTGCTATATATTTTAATCCAAAAGCATGCCATGGATGGTAGATATTACAGTCTCTTAACTCTTGGGATACTTAAAACCTGCCTTTCATAAATCAACATATAACTTTACAAAATTACTATTTCTTTAATGGACATTAATCTTTACTGACAACACAAATGATACCAAATTATAAGTGTGAAGTTATCTTTGGGGCAGAAGGATGTATTATATGTAATCAAAATAATGTTTATGATACATTACCACTGCTCCATTATCTGGTATCATTGGAGTTCCCATATTTGCAGCTCCTTCTGGTCCCATGGCAGGACCAGGACCCATTGGTGGGCCAGGTATAGTTCCTCTGTTGTTCATATTCATACCCATCATTGGAGGAGGACCTTGGTTACCAGCAGGTGCTGGGCTAAACGCATCTATGCAAAACAATCTATACTTAGAGCTGTCCTATCTTTGTTGAGTACATATTAAAAATTTAACAATACTTATGCAATCTATATAGCAAAATTATTATCAAGTCATTTTCCTTTCTTGAGAATGGGACACCCAAATTATCTGTGCTGTAACAGAGCATTACCAACCCTGTAGACTTTTCATCCTCAAAACAAACATAAAATAAATGAGACAACTATCAATTATTGATATTTAAGGATCTTAGACTTTAATAAAAGTTTGAGAGCTTCCTGAAAAATCACTATTACTTGTGAGTGTGATTTTAAACCAAATAGCTCCTAACAAGGGTGACATTACTTAATTCAACAGCAAAAATTAGCACTTGTTTCTTAAAGTTATGACTAAAAATAGCAGCATATAAATTGCACTAAGCTGTGAGTGGGGAAGCATCTCATATATATATATAGTTAAAATATATATATATATATAAAATTCACTGTAACTAAACTTTCAGCTTTCATAGTTACTGAATACCTCACAAAATTATAGGAGGTAAACATTTTAAAACTTTATATAGAAAAAAGCAAACCAAACAAAAACTAAAATGACTCATGAAACTTTTAAAAGCAACTACAACCAAATACATAAAATATTAATATAGCTATCTGAATTTCTGACATGCTGAAATTACGGAAATTGTAACAATCAGTTTTATTGGTCAAATTTTTTCATCAAAAAAATTTTTTTTCATGAAAAGGACATCTACCTGCCTAAAACTAATTGCAATAGTCTTTGAGCTGTAACACTACAATTACAAATGGCCTCAAGTACATTTTTCAGATCTTTTCATTGAATTTTTTTCACTTCTAAGTACTTGTACTTGTTTTTCATTAATAATTCTTATCAAAAGCTGATTCCAGTTTAATTTTTTATAGTATTTCATTGTGTAGGTTAATTTTATTATAGTCTTGAAATATATTTCTCAAAAAACACATTACATCAGGAGCTGAAGATTCATTCAAACCCATAACTCATATAGGATCTAATTCAGATGAACTCCATACATGTCTCAGTCCAGGGAGATGTAGAGAAGGAGAAGTCTCCCTTCCTAAGCCACATACTACTTACTACTGGTCTTTCTGAACCCACTCCCCTATAACTCAGCAACTTCATAGGGAAAGAATTATTTCCTTAATACCAAAATGTTCCTGCTGATAGACCCACTCTTTAATTATCCAAGAATATTTCAATTTCCCTTAGCATAGTTATAAATAACATTTTTTTACTAGATTCAACATCTTCCACAATGGAAATTAAGCCAAGGTGGAAACAGTATTTAGGAGATAATCCCTAGGAATATAACTATGGATATATTAAGAATATTAAATTAAAAAATACATTTCCAACTGTCAGCAGTTGAAGAATCCTATTTTTAGTAATTATAACTTCTACCAAACAGCTGCAATTAAGCTAAATTTAAATCTAAGAAATGTAAGCATTCTCTAGTTCCCTGAATGGCAGTCTTATAACCTATGTTTCACTTGTATATACAATGATAATATACCAGAAAATCTGTCACATTTCATCACTGTTAACTTGGTAAGATATGCCAGTTTACCAACTGAACAGACATTCAACTGTATGGTAATGCTTCATAAATCCAGTTAGCCATTAAAATGAAGTCTCACATTGAATAAATTGTAAACAGAAAAAAAAGCTTGGATTTTGGGGGAATTAAGTGCTAAATGTAAGTGCTAAATTAAGTGCTAAATTTTGGGGGAATTAAGTGCTCTCTGGTGAATAAGATGTCATAAAATATTTTTAATTCTCTTAAATTCCTAACTAAATAAGGAATCTAAAGGCATATTCTTAATTTTTCTTCTGATAAAACTGCTAATCAAGCAATTAGACGATTTTTTGAGGTTATGCAACATTAAAAACATTTCAAGTTTGGTTCTAACATTAATGACAACCTAATAATTATAACTGGCATTTCAAACTACCTATAATCCATAACCTAACACTTAGTCTTCAAAACCACTTCAATTATATTATACACCACCCCACAATTTACTCTGAAAAAGACAAAATACTGACCTACTTCACAATATTATACTCAACTATGCTTCACCAATAGAAGACTCTAAATTATCTGATTGGCAGTAACAAGGAAACTGTCATGGGGCAGAGAGTCTGATTGTGGAAAATGTTCTACATTTTAGATTCTTTTAGTCCATACACTGAATATTCTAAGTACGATCTGGGTTTTCTTGGTGAATGTACAAGTTACACATATCAAAATATCAAGATAATGCAATCTTTACAACAATACACACACAACTCATGTAAAGATTTCAACTTCATAATTTTTGTGGGAAATGTAAAATATATAAAATTTAAATGCTTGATTTCTAAATGCATAATATTTTTAAAAGACCTATGTTAATACCCCACACTTATTTTTCCCTGTTTATTGACTAATCTACTATATATCCCTGACAATCTGGTTGTGCAGTCAGTCAATATTGAAGTACTAATATTGGGCACTTTCTTAAAAACTTTGTATCAATCTTAAAGATACGCATTAGCCTAAATGTGCAAGGCTCATATCATTTCCTTGATAGTAACACATGTTCCAAAACATTGCATTTCTCTGTACAACACTGTAGGTTAAAGAAAAATACATTAAATATTCAGTGAGAATTAATTAAAAAATAGCTTCAAAGTTACGTAACAGGTTACCTTAAAATAGAAATTTATGAAATACTCTTAAAAAGTTTTAAAACACTACAGCTCAGAAACTATAATAATTCCCAGGTAAAAAAGCCAGTATGAAGGCATGAGATTTGATTTTCTTTTAATATAACAACATAACTATGCAATCACTGAACAGATTTCAGGTTGTATCAAAACCTGGTTACAGGTTTAATTCATTAAGACCATTAACACATAATACATCTTAGCCTTTAAATAAACAAAATGAAAATGTTCTTCATAGGCATGTTTTAATAAACCACATATTTTTTCAACTTAATAAATGTATGAGATTTCACTATTACAAATGTTGGTTCTATTTTAGTTACTGATACGTAGATACCACAAACAGCATGTACAATTTCCCAAGAATTACAAGTAAGTTACAGAAGCCTTTTGCTTCAAAAATCCCTACCTCCCATGTTTATTGCTCCACGGGGACCCATATCACCCATTCTCATTTCCTGTTCTCTCTGTAAGTAAACATAGTTGTCACAGTCAACCTATCGATCTTATGACTTTAACAATTCCCATCTAAAATCAAAAAGAAAAGAATAAATTGGGACATCACTTTCCATTAAAGAAATTTTAAATTTCCAATGTCATTTACTTACTAAGAACACTGAAAAGAAATGTCATTTTCCTAGTTTAAACACAAGTGCTTAAGAACACCCAGTTTATATGCTAAATGACCAATGAGCCAGATTTTATTCCAATAGATCAAAGAAATATACTTAGATTCCAAACAAGGAAAATTCTAGTAATAGTAACCACCATGAGTAACTGTATTTTTCCTCTAAGGTCACTAAAATCTTCAAACAGAAATGACTATTATCTCTTATATATTCAAATACACTATACAAACAGTGGTGGGGCACTAATCTAAAAATAAAGTCATAACATATTTTCATTTTTGAAATACTATATTTCATCCAGGACCTATTACCATAAACATACAAGCAATTATTGAAAGTTTAACATTAACACTCCCTTCCTCTATTTGAATGAGGATTTTACTTAGAAATCTAAATAAAAATATTATTGCAAGGATAACAGCTTCTGAAACAAAATGCTCTTGAGGTTAACTGATAGAAAAGGCAACACAAATGTTCAAAATGTTTTAAATTTCCACACAGAAGCTGCTTTCTGAAAACTCATTTACTAACAATAGTTACACAGAAATAGCCTCAATGAAATCTCTAAGTGAAAATATTCAACATTATAATAGAAATTTCCACTGTTCTTGGATCTTTTCCAGTCTTACATGTATTCTGAGGAAAAAATGTTTAAATTTAAAGAAAGCATAATTACTTTTAAAAGCAATTAATAAAAATGCTTAAATTTCCATTTAACAACAAAATTAATGGTGAAAGGCCCTTATAAAGTTAGAAAGGAATTAGAAACCGATGGTAGAGACAGTAAGTCAAATGCCCACCTAACCTAATGGCAATTCCTAAAAAGATAACATTTAGTGAAGTTATGATACAAGAAAAACTGTTTACAAAGCTTCATAAAGAAATATTTTGTCCTATTACTTAGAAAACATAAATGCCAAATCATTCTCACAGTTATGTCTAATGAAAAATGTCTCTTCTTTTGATTGATACCAACAAAAAACTCACTTTTATAAAATTGCCTCAAGCCGTAATTTTCCACTTATATAGAAAATACTATTTTGTGAACACATCTAGCACTACCATAAAAAATCCAAACCAAGTTGTCATTTCCTTATCACCAGAACTTTTATTATAGTATATAGTACTTCCGTATATGCAAATCTTCCAGGTGTTATTTACAGCAGGTATTTGTGAAAAGATGACTGTATTCCAGTACTATAGAACAAAACACATGAGTTTTATGATCATGACATTTTGGAAGGGTTGAAAGTTTAATTTATAATTATTTTTACTTTTGGATTTCCCTTCACTAAAATTAGTACTGTGACATCTAACTACTAAATGAGTAACTGTGACAGTCTTACTGTTCAAGTCTTCAATTTTCATATACCCAAAGAGGATGCCTATGATCAATCCATTCATTTGGGAGGAGCAACAGGAGAAACAATCAATTATTGTCGCTTATAATTTCAGTTTACTTATCACTTTCTGGAGTAATATTTAGTACTTTTTTGAACTTAAGAACTTCTAAAAATTATTCTTAAATCTGCATTCCTCAGCAACGGAATTTTATGGAAAACTGTACTAAAGAGATCTAAAACTTCATCAAAATTCTTTCTGATGCTGTATAAATTGGTTTCAATTCTAAAATTTCTCTTTTAAATGAGATGTCTTACGATAATTAATGCAGCATTATCACTATGCTAAATCACAAATTCATGCTATATGTTACAGCATTTTTCACTGAATATACATGTACTCTACTAATACCTCCTTAAAGGAAATTACTCAGTACAATTTTATATAGTTTCATTCGTAAGATTAAGAAAAAGGGATAACATAATTAAGACTGACACATCATTTTCCAACTATTTTAAGAGCAAAAGGAGTTTTAGCTTTGTAGTCTTGTCTTGAGGTTGTTATTTGCTATAAGAATGTTTCATACTTTCAGAGAAGATTATATCTGAGGAACAATACCTCGTTACATCTTGACCAACTATCAAAAAGGAGAATTACTTGAAGTTCATTATAACTTTGTCCCCATTCAAAAAGAAAACACAAGGCCCTTGCTATGAATTACCTCTAATATATTTTCAATTAGAACTGGTACCTAATGTGATACTTATATCATACAAAATTTAATGTTGTTTTATACTTTATCAAAATTAAGAGTTGTGGTTTAAAAGGAAGTAACACTGAACAATATCTCAAAACACTGCAGTCTAATGAGTTGTGATGAAAACTTAATTTAATTAATTCAATTAATCTCCATACCTCTCTTATGGAGTGTGTTATTCTATTTTAGAGATCATAAAATTGAGGCATAAAGCTATTAAGTAAACATACAGGCTGAACTGATCCATAGAATTCTGACAACAGTTCATATAAAATTTTCATCTTCACAAAGCACTTTCATTTTTCAAGAATTCCAACAAACTAAAAAAAGGACAAGATTTTTTATTTATTGTTACAATGATTTAAGGTGTGCCTTTCCATTAGAGCAATTATGCATGTGTGTTACTGAAAGCTTGTCACTGAAATATGCTTAAATTCAGATAACTAAAAGGTAAGCAAATTATAGAACCACATTGCGGTTCAAATCAGCACTGCATTGAAACAGTAGTACTCAAATGTGGTTCATAAAACCACATTTGGGGAGTCCCCAAAACCTGTTCAGGAAGTACACAAAATCAAATCTGTTATTACTATTAACACTAAAGTATAGTTATTTATAATATGAACTAATTAGGGTTTTCACTCTATCAACATTTCTATGAATGGTGCAAAAGCAATGGAGGGCAAAAAACCCGGTGTTTATTAGCACATTATCAAGGCATTTGCATCAAATTTTTGCTATTAGCATGATATTTTTCTCATGCATACAACTGCAGTTTAAAATTTAATTATGAATATCCACATGGAATAAAAATAATTTTGAAAACTGCTAACCTTGGATACATCTTTTCTAATATTTTATGCACAAAACAGAATGAATACATAAAGTGCTACTACTGCATTCTAAAGTACGATTGTTATTTCCAGGAAAAAACACTGCTGTAAGTTGCAAAGTGAATGATTTTTTTCTTAGAAGATAATCTTTATTTAAAACATCATTTGACAAACTGATTACTTACGTGTGATTTGGAAGATATTTCTGATGAGATTAGTGACTGATACTATTGATACCTGTTTTTAATTTTGTATAACACATTAAAATTTGGAATACATTTATAACTACATGGACCAAACTATTCTAAAGATGGATGCTATGACATTATAAAATCACGTTTCAAGATTCAAGAAAGACTAAAGGATTTTAAGGGCTAAAGTACTCTTAAAAAATCTACAGTTTCTCAAGTTTTACTACAGTATCAAAGAATATCCACAATTATCTGAAAAGGATAAAATATATTTGTATTCATTTACTCATTACTTATCTGAGTAAAGCCAGGTTTTCTTCTTGCACATTAACCAAAAGAGCATTTTGCAACAGTTGGAATGCAAACAAGTATGGGAAGATAGTCACTTTCGAAGAAGTCAAATATTAAAACTAATTTACCAAACAGCAAAGGAATAACCTCTGATTCAACCACTAAAATTAAAAACTAAGGAGATAGGCAAAAATGTAAAAGTCAGCCATTCTTTCCACACATTATCTTACAGACTTTTTAATTTCTAATATGGTAAACACAAAAATAAACTAAAGATCATGATCTTTTCTTTAATTTTTAATAATGTAAGGGATTTTGAAACTAAAGCGTCAATTGAAACCACTGTTAAGTCACTATTCTTTCATGAAAACGTAGAGAAAAAGAAAATTCACACTAATGTAAATTAATTACACCATTATTTCCCAAAGTGTAGAACTTGACATCACATAGAATATGAATTTTCCCCCCTCCAATATTTCTACTTCAGTATCAAACTATGATTTTAAAAATATTTCATTATGGGGCCTCCCTGGTGGCGCAAGGGGTTAAGCACCGCGCTGTGAAGCAATCCGCAGCCACTGCAGCACGAGTTCCATCTCTGCCTGGCCAGGGAGAAAACCCACATGGCGAGGCAGACCTCTCCTGTCTCGCCCGCTGCTCCCCTCAGCAGTGTATTTCAGTCAATCTGCCTGTTCTGTTCCCTGCTCTGTCTCTGGTGGATCCTCTCACCCCCTACATCTCTGACCTGTGCCCCAGCTCTTGTATGCATAAATAAATAAATCTTAAAAAAAAAAAAAAATTTTCATATGTCACCTAATTTAAAGGGAAGTACTTCATACAAATAAAAGGTAAAAATTAAGGATAATTTGAAAGCTTAAGGTTTAGGAAACTGAATAAATACTGACTTAACACATATCATTTTTCAAGAACATTTTCAACCAATGAAAAGATAGGTTCAGCCAACACTTGATCAATCTAAATTCTTGTTTGAGTGAACACAATCTTAAATGGCCATAATCATAATTCTTTTTTTGGAAAGACTCCTGTCTCTAAAGAAAACCTGAAGTTTGTCTACAAGTCACCATGTACCATTTAAATTTCCTAACTTAATAAAGAAAATGCTAAGTCTTCATATAATACTGACATAAAACATCTAAATCCACTAAAGAAAATACAAATCTAGAGAAGTAATATACAAGTTCTGAAAAGTAACAAGACTCACTCTTTTTATTATTAAATATACCTAAAATACTTCCTAAGAATAAATTATATTTTATACCTGGGAATACATCTTTTATGTCACTAGAAAAGCTTCCATAAAAGAATGAGTATTTGTAGTCAGTTAAACTTTCATGGGAAAAATTAAACAGAAGCTGTTAGTATGCAAAAATACAAAGTAACATTGCAACATATTTAGATTGGAAC